ATAAATAAATAAATAAATAAATAAATAAATAAATAAATAAATAAATAAATGCAGGAGGGCCTTGTTTGTGCTCACAGTCCATTCTTCTTTCTTCGGAATGTGCTCTAAAGCGGCCTTCATCTTCAGACCCTTGTCCATGAAGGGCAGACAACCGTGTTTTTTTCCCTGACCGATTTTGCAAAAAGTCCTTCATGCATACATTGTTCTTGTTCCTCAGGGACAGTGGCAATGTGTTGGCAGAACAACTGCTTTATTCACCTGTTATTGTCATAAGCTTGTAACCATGGTAGCATCATTCTGAGGGATGCTTGAATGCTTCCTATATGGAGGTTCTCGAGACCTGGATAGTCATTACTATATCTCTTATGTACATGTTGTCTGTAATCACTGTCTTTTTGTAGGGTTGTCTAATCTCATCACATTTGTGAATAGCCCCTGAACAAAGAACCTCCATATTGGATGCTAGGCCATTGATCATAGTTTGTGTGATCACAGGCTGTGTCCTTGCTTGATAGATCCTGAAATAACTCCAAATTTGATTGTGACAATATATGTATTCCATCACTGAGTGATCAGATACTTTGAGCATCATTGAGCAATCAGATGCCAGCTCCTGGCCAGTCAGTGGAAACTTCCTAAAAACTGAGCATGGTAGCATGTTCACTTTCTAGTGATCATGAAAACAAAGATGCCAATGTTAGAGTAATCACACTTATCCCATAATCCTTAAAAGCAGGATCGCTTCGCCATGTTGTAAATGTATAAATGTCATTAATGTCTCAGGAGTCCTCTAATTCTTAAATATGCTTCATCAGCCTGAATGTTATCAACACTGTCCCAGGAGTAATCTGCTGTGTTCACGTGACTTCCGTCTGTTGATTTGTCATGTAGAGTGGTGCTCACATTCATGTAGGACCATTCGTTAAACTTTTGTTATGGCTAAAGTTGTTTGTGAGCATCCATAGCTGAAGTTTGCCAGAAAGCGTGAGTTCCTAGGGCACAACCTTTAATTTGGATGTGCATGGGAATTTTCATCAGATGGCTGCGTTTGGCTCTCTGGTGAGCTGTATCTCAGAGGGAGAGGGGAAGGAGGCTGGGGTAGCTTCTGGTGATCTCATACCCAGGCCACCCAGGTGCCCCCCTTCCCAGCCCTGAAATGCCCCCTTACCCATCTTCTGGTCCCTTTCCCATCATTGGGGCACAGCTAGATGGTTCTTCCCATGACAGCTGGAAGGGGGTGGGGGCAGTGCCTCATCTGACACCAGCCAGGTGAGCTAAGAGGATACTATGACTGATGGCCTTGAAGGCCACTGCAAGGTCTTGGAGAACTAATAGAGCTGCACTTCCTCACAGTCCATCCCTCAGTGTAAATGATCCATGATGGTAATCAAGGTCAGAAGCAAGGCTGAAAGGCATTCAAGAAATCATTGTCATCCATTGCCACTTGAGGCTGTCTGTCTCCTGGGGTAGCCTGATTTCTGAACTCTGGTATTTGCCTTAAATTGTCCAGTAATATTATTTTAAGCTGGCTTCAGAAGCAACCTAGAATAAGTACAAAACTGTATAAAACTTGAGTGGTGTGTGTTGAGCACAAGCATGTTCAACAAAGAAGTGGTTTAAGATGGTACGAAAATATATATTATGGATCACATATTTTCGTGTGTGTGAGGGAGGGAGGGAGGGAGGGAGGGCAGATCCAGTGCAAGTAGGACATTTTGGAGAATAATGTAATTGGTCAGGGAGCCTCAAAGGCCCCCAGCGTGGCCCATCCAGCTACCCACCCCTTCCTAATCAGTTTATATAATCCATTTGGCTTGTGCGTTAATATACAAGCAACCGCCTTGATTTGTTGTTGTTGTTGTTAGTCACGAAGTCGTGTCCGACCCCTTGATTAGCTTAACGTAAAGTACCTGTTTGCTTCTGTTACACGCTAGAGGGCAGGGGCAACAAGCATCGCCTATTTCCATTAGCAAAATGAGTGGTCTAATTACCTTGTGTCTCATATTGTAAGAATTAATGTTTGTAAACTGTTTCAAGAGGCTTAGATTAAAGATGTTATACAAGTGGAAAGAATTATTCTTGAAAATGATGAGTTGAGTTTCTGTAACAAGGCAAAACATGACAAGAATTCCAACAGTGAACTGTAATCACTTGAAGTGGTGCATCTGCTTGGGTGTTAAAGAATATTAATGTGATTTGTTAGGGAATGGAGGCAAGCTTCGGATCAGTACAGTGTGTTAACTGTGTGCTAGCAGTGTATGGACTGATAAAGTCTAGTTGTCCAAAGTCTATACGTTTTGGGTTATAATTCCTAAATGGGTGATTTTTGTGTTTTTACAGATTTATATACTGTCAGGAATTACTCTGTGTCGTAATGAGTTTGTCAAAAAGCAGATTCAACAGGCTTTAATAAATGTAATTTAGTATCTAAAGGCGATCCTTATCTCTATAAGGATCTCTATAACAAATGATACAGAAACTAAGCATGTGGCTGGAAGATAGAGGTTCTTAGGAGAAGTGCAAGGTTGGGAGAAGTTGTACCCACCCATTCTGTGCTTTAAGCCTCCTTCTTTACACTTTATAAGTGTAAAGCGGTAGGAAGCAGTCTGGATTCATACACTTGGGCCTTAAATGCTGCTCGTCTTAGTTTTTGTCATTTACAATGCAATCTTATACATGTCTACTCAAAAGTAAATCCCATTGAATGTAGTGGGACTTACTCCATGTTAAGTGTGCACAGGGTTGCAACCGGAAAATTCAAAATTTTGTTTTAAAGGCAACTTTACATGTCAAGTTACATCCATGTTTATACTGAAGTGTCTTGGATTGAGGGGTGTAACTCACCACAGAGAAAGTCGAAATGGTTTTTTCATCTCTAACTGGCAACAGATTTTTGGTTCATTTTATTATTGTAATCTGTATGTTCTGAAACTAATATATAAATTGACCCTGGTAATAAACAGTGATCATACTGCCTAAAATATGGAAATTGCTGAAAGTAAAAGGTATGATTGTGTTTGGACAGGAAGGAAATGTTGCCCAGTATGGTATTTAAATCATTAAATTTTATACAAGGAATTCTGCAGCTTGTATAAAACATGTATCATTTCTAAAAATTACTTTACACTGCCTTAAATGATATAGTGCCAAAACAGCAACTTCCTTATTTGTTGTTTTTTGAACAGGCCAGGTCTGTCATAGCTGTTGGTCTTGGCATTGCAGCTGTTGCATTTGGAGGTAAGAATAATGCAAGTTTAAAATCAAATTAGTTATATGGTAATAGTATGTGGTTTAATAAGAAAAAGACTCTGTAGTATGTCAGACCACTGGTGTACAACAAGCTTCAGTCAGGGCAGAATACAGAGAAACAGAACGGTTTTCCACGGACAAAGGTGCCAGATGAGGTGTGTCCATTTCCCTGCCTGTTCAGTCTGTCCTCAGAATGCCACATAAGGAAGGCTTGGATGAGAATCAGAGGAAGGAGTGAAGAAACAGCACTAATTCACGATATGCAGCTGACACCATCTGCTCCTGGCAGGCAGTAGCAATGAAACATGAAGATACGGAGTGCTGGAAGGGCAACAATGAAGGAGCTAGAAAAGATCATGAAGTGTAAGGAAGTTCCACTGGAGGCAAGGCCAGGATCGTCCATGCTAGTGTATTCCAGATTACTGTGTGTGGCTGTGAAAGCTGGACGGTGAGGAAAGCAGGCAGTAGGAAAATGGGTGCATTCAAAGCATGGCAGTGGAGCAGAGGTTGCCCTGGATAGAAAGAAGGACTAGTGGGCCCTGGATCAAGTCAAGCCAGAGCTTACCCTGCATGCAGAAATAACAAAACTGGGACTATTGTGCTTCTGGCACGTCTTAAGAAGGCAAGACTCACTGGGGAAGACGGTGATGTTAGGGAAACCCAAAGGTGGAAGTTGGAAGGGAAGACCAGAAACGAGATGGGTTGAATCCATCAGGGAACCCACAGCCTCATACTTGGGGGAGCTGAAAGAGCTCTCGTGGGCAAGGAGTTTTGGAGGCCTTTCATTCATAGTGTTGCCATCAGTCAGAGACCCCCCTGAAGGTACATAGCAACCATAACAACACCTGTTGCAATTAATTTCTGCCAGGTACAGAAATGATTCCAGGTTGCAACTCCCGAAGGTTGCTGCGAAGTAGAAGCACACCAACAATGGTATCTAGTAACACTTTCAAAGACTAAGTAAGGCCCCAGTTTCAGGTGGCGTATGATTGTCTTCCTCCAGTGGAAGCATCTTGCAGTTGTACATCTCACGCAGAAGAGGGACATGAGGATTCAGAGTGCAGGGAGTTGCCTGCCGACGACACCTGACAGCGTCACTTCCCCGATTGATACTGCCAGCCCCCCCCCCACCCCCATGGTCAGGGCAAAGGGGCCAAAGCAGTCCTGAGCTCAGGGGGTTCTTCACCTCCTGCCTTGCCTTTGGCATGCAGACTCTTCGTGGTGCTGCCAGAAAGCTGGCAGCAAGGAAGTAATCTGATAGTAAACGGGCTTCTCCTTCCGTGTTTGAAGGAGATCCAGAGTTGATTTGGTGTCAGTTTCTGCTTTTCACTATCCATTTGACATGGCTTTCATTTTTACTCACCCCGGAACTCAACAGTTCCTTCAAGGAGCTTAAAGGGAAATGTTGCTCCCCGCAGTCAGGGCCACGGTTCCACAAAGGAGTTGTGTCTGTTAAATGGGGTTGTTTATAGTGCACCAGAGCATCTTGCCAAAGCAGCTGGGATGCATCCCCACAAATCCGGTTTCAAATAACCTTGGATTTGCCGCCATTGTGTGTGAGGTGAAGATGCAGTTCTCTCTGCTTCTTTGTGGATAGAATATTAAGAATTCAAATTCCCAGCCAATGAAATAAATCTAATTGCACTTCATGGGCTTCCTTGAAACCCAGAAGATGAATTTACAGAAGTGCACCTGAGCAGATGGACCTGCATATTAGCATTTGTCAGTATTCTCTTAAAAGATGGCTTCCCTTATTGTGCTGTAAATAGGAAAGACGGCCCGCAGCTGGCAGCTTGTCCTAGCATGGTGCTGGGCTTTTCTCCAAAAGCAGCCACTCAGGGAACCGTTTGAATCAGGAAAGGGCAACAGTTTGGACCTCCGGACAATGAGATGAAAAATCGGTTTCTTTCTCTGTTTTCGTGCTGAAATTACTGTTGCTGCATGCTTGCTTAACAGATGAGCAAATGTTAAAATGTCTTTTGTTTCAATGTTTTATAGGTCGCTACGTGTTACACCTCTGGAAGCCACTAGAACAAGTCGTCACAGAAACCGCAAGAAAAATTTCAACTGCTGTAAGTTTGGAGCTAGTTTCTGGACTATGAGATTAAAAGAGCAAGAAAGGAATTTATTCTTCTCTGTGATGCAGAGAGACGTGCCTGCCCATTTTATGCAGCTTCCTCTGGGGGAACCACTTGGGGTATGGAGAAGGGCAGGGGCCATCCTGCCTGTCAGAGGGGAAGATGGAAGAGATGGCCCAGACACGTGCCTGCTTGTTAAACATATCGTTAGAGCTGCAGTTACTGCCTGCTGGCAGGAGAGGTGTGTGTGACAGGGGGACAGAGTGCTGGAGGGGCGCAGAGGAGGCCAGCGGGGCACGGGGCAAGTGGAGTCACCTGGGGCAGTGTCAGGGCGGGGAGCACAGCAGGGTGTTGCTTGTTCCCAGGGCGGCCTGATATCGGAGAGGCTGGGTGGTCCTGGGGACAGCGTGCTGGGTTTAAGGTTAAACTGCCACCAGAATGGGAAGACAGCAGCCTTGCAGGAGTTGATTAGCCTGAGCCAGGGAGGCCTGGTTGGATGGTACTGCCCACCTGGGTTCTCCATGTTGCTGCAGAGAAGGTCTGGGGAGTTGGGGAAGCAGAGTTGCTGTCATGATGCCACTCCACTGACAGGGTTCCTGATCCTGCCGTCTTCTGTGTCTTTCTCTGAACATGGGGATTCTGCTGATGCGGCGCCTTCCCTGTTAGATCGCACTCTCCCTTCCTGGTCTATTCGGGGAGATCTTTGGACTTGTGCTCAAGTTGCTTTTGGCCTGGGCTGGAGGTCTTTGGTATGCACGCTGAAGCTGCCTTGTGAGAGCGGCTTAGAACTCCACGGCAACCACAGCTCTGTACCAATTGCTATCCAGTCCCCGTCATCTGTGTTTGGTTCCATACTTTGGATCTGGTTGGGGTTTAGATTCACTGGTTTGGATTTGGGACCTTCACAGGGGCAGGGAGCCAATACATTGGCAGCTGATTGATGCCAGAAGCAAAATGGTTTCCTGTTGAGTCTTGAGGATTTACCAATCACGTTGGCCGGCGATTCTGTCAAATTCCTGGTAAATGGGGCACTGGTCATGGTGTTTAGCACCATCTCTCCTGACCGCCTCCTCCTATCTAGGGAAACTCGAGTGAGTAGGACATTAACTAGAGCGGCAGAGGCACAAATTAGGTTTCTCCTGGGCTAGAGGTCATTTGGAGCAGTGAGAGTGGCCACGAAATGGTGCTTCTCCGCACCACTGCATCAGCTCAGGACAGGGTTGTCCAGTGAAGTTTTTTCCATCAAAGGCCTGTGACGCTCTTGCTCACAAAAAGGAAAGGAGGTGGACCTGCAGCGCACCAGGAGCATTTGCGGGTGACTCACTCATTCATGCTTGTGTTCTTGGATGCCGCTTGGTGCATTGCAGATCAGATCGATTGCATCTGTGCCGATTTGGATGTTCACGCAGCCAGCGCAGGGCTGGGGGAGACAACTTTTGCCCCGGCGGGTCCTGCTGCAGTCAGCAGATGCGGGCAGGATCTTTGGGGAGGTGAGGCCTGCCCCTGGTTGTGCTTGTGATTGTGCGGCCTTGTGCTTGCCCGCAAGGTCAGACGGGGAGAGCCAATAAGGCAAGTGGCAGTGGCCTCTTTACGGCAAAGTGCAATCAAATCCTGCTTCAAAGGGGTGGTGGGAGATGTTTGTTAAAAATAAGGACCCCATGGTATTGGATAATCTCTGACTGGTCCTCAGCACTGCACTCATGCACAAGGTCCTGGGGTACATGGAGGCTTCTCCAATTCAGGGGCTTTTGGGTGAGCCAGATTATCTAGATCCCTTTCAAAGCATTGCGTGTTTTCTCCCTTAAGGTAACTGGGTTCAAAAGCAGTGAATGCTCATTTTGATTGAATAGCGCAACTCCAGCTTTTAAATAGAAATTCTGCGTATTTATGGTCACACAAGACATAGAATGGAGCACTCTGTTCCGTACACCACACCAAGAATATTTGCGGGTGACTCACTCACTCATGCTCATGATACTGGATGCGGTCTAATATTTTCCAACATCACCCCTTGCATCCAGGGTTTCTTATTCAAAAGACTTCTCAGAACTTCTGATCTAGAAATCAAAAATCTATTGATCCACGTAGAGACTTGCTTGTTATTCCATGCCAATAACAGCCTAGTGTTGTCTGAATTATATTTTTCAAGACTGAGAGTAAAAAATGATTTTTTCAGAACTGCAAAGAGACCATACAGACTGTTTTCCTCTTGGCTATTGTGTCAAATTTTGAAAGAAAAGGGATGGTCTTATCTCTTCCAGCAATAAAATCTCTTCATCAGAAGATAAAAGGCCGATCGTGCCTCACAGTCAGTCGGAACCCTTTGTGCCTGTGCATCGTACGATTCTGGCATGTCCAGACGCTCTAAACCAAAGAGCGGTTTGAAGCTTTTTCAGACTTTACGATAGCATGAGCTGTGACAGCGGTGGGGGGGGGTACCCCAAATGAGCATCTCTTTCTAAATCCGAAATATGTATTTTAAGAGGAGACTGGATTTGGCTCCTGCGTGTCATCCTTGGTCTCCCTTAGAAGAAGAGGGTGCACTTGCAGTCATTTGCAAAACCCTGGGTACTTGGGAAGGCTTGGGGCAAAGGTTGAAATGTGCTCCCCATGAAGGCTTTAGGGGGAAAATGCAGAAGGTCAGGCCACTGCTGAGGAGGGAGTGTCATTGCCCCCAAAATCTCTTTCTTGGTGAAAGGTCCCTCCTCCATCGGTTTCTTAAAAGTGTGCCTTCAGCAAAACATTGAGGGAAAGTAAAGGGAGGTAGACTCAAGATGAGGAAATACTAATTAAAATGGTGTACACAACTTGGCACACCCCAGAATAATTTTTAGGAAATGGTGGGCAACCCATCTGAGCTGCCGCTGGGCCACCTTGAAGGAACTGTTAGTATGTGCCGAAGTGGGGATTGCGGAAGGTGGCTGGACATCCACCTTTTGCCATCTCAGGAGGAAACACCTGTTTGGCCAGAGGATCCCAGAAAAGGCTGTGGCAAGGGGGAGGGTGCTAGGAGAGCCCGTCGTTCCCTGTGGTGTCCCCGAGCAGCCTGCAGGCGGACTGAGAGCAGGGGGCGGTCTGTCCAGCAGTGTGCCCCATGGTCTTTCAAGTGCATCGGGAGCAGCCGGGTCACAAGCCGCCCTGAGCACCACGTTGCTGCCCTTTTTGGCATGCCACCTCATGCAACCCCACCCCCGATCCTCCCCAGGCCAGTCTGTGAATGCATTAGTTGGCGTAATGGAGCAACACCACGAATGCAGAGCTCCAGAACATTGTGGCACAGGCAGAAGTTTTTTAAGGCCTACTAATTTCAGTTGGATAATCAGGTACATGCTTAAATCTTTCCCCCTAGAGTCCTATTAGCAGGGTCAGGGAATTCTAGGAATTTCCTAGAAATTCTTGCTTCCCACATTCGCAGAAAAGCTAAATGAGTATCCCTTGCCATCCCTCTTTGATCGTCCTTACTATGTAAATTAAAATATTTTGAAACCACATAATATTTTTAGAAAACATTTATCTGGAACACTGAAAATATCAGATACTTTTCAATATTTTATACTACAAATGTAATCTGATATAATTAGCAGGGGGTTTTTTGGGCGGGGGAGCATTACAACAGAGGTTGCCAATCTAAAAATGAGAAAACATGGAACACAATCCCCTAGTTTCTATTCACATATTCATGGTATTTCTCATGCCCAGGAATGTCCTTGTATCCAGAAAGATTCCTAAAATCTGCAAGAACTTTGCTGAGCTTTGAATATTATGGCATAGAAACAAATACCCCTTTCATCTTATTCCTTGTTATTGTCTATTTTTATCATTTGTTTTTAGCTGCTTCAAACTTGTCAGTATTGTTATGATTGTATGATATTTTAGTACTTTCTCTGGACTGTGTAAACTGCTGAAAGAATTGCAGCTGTGGGGTAGTAAATAAATAAATAAATCTTCTGCTTGTGCCTGTTTCCATGGTCTTTGTTAATTCTCTTCTATTTACAAAGTACACCTCTGTTTAGAAAGGTATACTGTATGATGCAAACCACAAATTGCTGGAAAATGTTCCTAAATTATGTGTATTATTTATACTAACCTACCTGTATACATTGTGCTTTTCAGTTTTATAACCAATAGAAACAAACTAGATAAGGTAATCCTGAGATATTTGGCTCACGTGTCCCACAGTTTAAAACAACACAACACGCTAATTCCCACCCTATCCATTCCTTCCATGCTTTCCCTAATGCAGCTTCCTGCTGTTGGTTCCATGGATGAAAAAACAATGCACTGTACCGTCGGGCTATTTTCTTTTCTCCTTCTCTAGAGTGGTGGCTTGATTATTGTTGAGCCCGGGTCCCTTGGCTTCAAAACGAGTGCGCTGTCCTCAGAAGAGGACTGGCCATTGTAGTGCTCACACAGATCTAATCACCTCACCTTGTCTCCCACACAGAATCTCTCTTCATACTATAAAGGTGGATTTGAACAAAAAATGAGTCGGCGAGAAGCTAGTCTTATTTTAGGTGTGAGGTGAGTGTTCTTTCATGAAAACAAACCTGTTCAGCTTCCAAGCGTGGAAGAAGCATGGTAGAAAATGTAGGAGAGGCATGCGCCCCCTGATGGCCACATGTGCAAATCGTGCTGCCAAGCCAGCTTGCAGGCAAGTTGTGCTGCCTGAGTTGTGCGCAGGCAGCGCACAACGCAGGTGACAAGATGGTCTGCCCCGTTGTCCCCCCGATCCTTGCAACTGCAGCGGAGTCGGCGGACTGGTCTGGGGTTGCAAGAGCGCCCATTGCGGGTTGAATGATCCCTGGAACTGGCTGTGTTTGCCAGGGTGGCTTGTCGCCCCCAAATTAGCCATCCTGGGAAGGTTGCCTGAATTTGGACATCACTGTGGCTAGTTGCCCACAGTGTGTTGTCATGTTTGACAAACCCAGTCCTTCACTTAGTTGTGTGTCTCTGCACTAAAAGAAGTGGCAGAAACACAACTATTCAGTTTGCTGTCTGCAAGGAAAAGCTAGGCTACTTTGAAAAATGTTGCAGCACTTGTTAGCATGGATATATTTCCTCTCTGCCGTGCGCGCAAGGCAGCTTACAGAATGAAACGACGGTGTGTGCATTGCTGGACCTGATGCCAAAGGAACACGGATCAGCAGAGGGGAATGAGCCAGTCTGAATACTGCTTCCCACACATGCAGCCTGCAAGTGCAGGGAATGCTGTGCATGGAAATCTGTGTAAAGGGCCCGAGTGCAATGGACAGTGCTTCTTGGCTGCGTGTGTCGCTTCTTCGTTGAGCCTCCTGGCTCAGAGCAAGCCCTCCTGCCCAGGCAGCCTTCCTTATACTCTTAACCTGTGACGGTGCTGCCGTGCCTAGGCAAAATCTGTTTAATGCCTGGGAAAAAAGACCGATAGGCAAGAAAGAGGCAGTCCGCTGCGTCGCATCTCTCTTAAAAACCGTACGCGTGCGAACTGTAGTGCTGGATCTCCGTGCCTCCTCCTGCCGTATGGAATGGGCGGAACCACGTCGGCATTCTTTCTCTTGGAATCTCAGTTGTCTTCCTGTAGTGGCGGCTGGAAGGCCAAGTGCTTGCCAAGTGGGGAAAAGCCTCGCCAGCGCCCGTCTCAGCCAGGGCCTCAGCAGTGTTGCGAGACTGGAGGATACCACTGACGTGGGCAAGTCACAGTGAGAAAGCACCAGCCATCCAGTCATTGCTGAAGCGCATGCCTTTGCCACTGGGTGAGGGATCGCTCTTCCCTTTTGGGGCACCTGGGGAAAGACCCATCCTCCACTGGGAGCGGGGCCTCCGCAAAAGCTGCGTGGCTTCCTGGCCGCCAGCCCGAGCCGTTCTCTGCGTGTGCAGAGGTGGATGGGTCATTCTCGGAGTCCCCCAGACACAAAGCCATGGCTTGTTGCAAAGAGAATGTCTTTCTTTGGCTGTGCAGTATTGTCTTCTGCCCACCAGATGGCAAAGATCTCTAGACTTTGTTTTTCAGAAGCAAACAAATGGGTAATTTACAGTCTGCAAGAGTCATTATTTATGTTAAGCGCTCTAATTTTATTTATTTATTTATTTATTTGCAGTCCATCTGCTGGCAAGGCCAAGATTAGAACTGCCCACAGACGAATCATGATTTTGAATCACCCTGATAAAGGTGCGTTGATATTGGCTGGCAGGTAACATGCTGCCCGTGCCCATCTCATTACTCGGTAATTAGCCGCACGCTTGGGAGCTATCGCACATTCTGTGCAGGGCACGGCAAAGTAAATCTTCGGACGTCACCTGTGGTACGTTTGGCTTGTATAAAACAGCTCCGCGTCCGGCCCACCCAGACCATAGCAGGGCGTGGAATGGCTACCTCCGGGGCCATTCACTAGATCACAACTGTACCTAGCCGTCAGGCAGCGAGTGTCCGGAGCTGCTGTGCCAAGCTGTTCCCCTTGGGAGAAGGGGAGGCTTTCCCATGCACTGGTGCAAGCAGCCACATCTGCTCGAATAGAATCTTTGCCACCATAAATAGACACTGAGCGGGGGATCGCACAGGACAAATATGCGTACTAGACTTTAGTGCTCTTAAAAACTATAAAGCCAGGCACAGATGTTTTAACTAGCCAGGTTTTTAATGTAAACCTATCTCCCCCCATAGCTCTTATTATAACTTTAACTACACTGCAGCTGGTTGAGAAGGAAAGCCCATATGTTCGTTGCTGCTTCCACTCCGATACAACAGATGGCTGAGGGTTTCACAGTATTTAAAAAGCCAAAAAGGGGGAAGCGAAGATTTTTATATCTGGATGGCAGATTTATAGTTCATTCATTTTCATTTTGGGAATGCAAAATTAATTCTGACCTCATTAAGGTGAAAGGTGTAGTTTGCGCCATTGTTTTCTTTTAGTATTTCTTTGCTGCTGCTGCTGCTGCTGCTGCTGCTGCACCGGCTCTTGCATAGTGAATGAATTGCCCGTTAAGGTGGACTGTGTGGATCTAGGCTGAATTGCATTATGCAGTGGCTGCCTTGTGACGATGATGAAACGGTGGCCAGAATAAGGCCACTCTCCGTCACTGTGGCTTTGCTGCATCACGGTTCGGCCCTGTGGGAGTCGTGGCCAGGGCCTCGCACCTGGCTGCCGCTTTACATACGCTTCTCCGTGAACAGCGGTGGACAGGACGGGGGTTGCCGCAGCATGTAGCTCCCCTGCAGGGCTCCCCAAAGGCAGCCGCCGCAGGGGGCCTCCCTCCCCTGCCACCTTCAGAAACGCACCTTTAATTAAAAACTTGAGAAAGACATCGCATCAGCTTCCCCTTTCTGTTCCTGAACCTGCTGCTGCTTGGCCGCACGGAGCACCGAAGTTGCTTCCTGGTCCCTCGCAGTCCCGTCCAGGTAAATCCGTCCATCTTCCACTCCCTTGCTTTCCCGTCACTTTTCTCCCTACTCGATATTTCTCTCCCTCGTTCTTGCCTGGCTGCCTTTCTCTCTCTCGCCACTTAACCCTCCACCTTGCCGCCCTCTCCCAATGGATCCTTTCCCCTTGCTGTTCCCCTCCACCCCACCCCCAGCCCAGTGAGGTGGGGGACCCTGCCGTAGTGACTCCTCAGCTGCCAATTACAGGAAAGGCATGTGGCAAAAGCATCAGTGGCACGTGCTGTTTCCACCTCTCCCCAGTCAGTCTTCCTGAGGTTTATCTCTCCCCAGGTTTGTTTTCCTTTGCCATGAGGCAAATCATGTCCAGGCTTATTTGAAGGGATATGCAAAGGGGCCCACCTGCAGCTCACAGGTTGAAGACTTGAAAGGGAAATGATGGAAGCACTGCTTTCACCTGGCTTCGCAGGCCCTCCCTGCACCATGCGGAGCTTGCGTCCGGTCTCCCCAGAACAGATCGTGTGCCCTTAGTGGTCCCTGACGCTTCCATAGCGTGCTGCTCCTGCGAGCAGGTGCTTGGAAGGGGTGGTTGCAGCTCCCGGCTGCTGAAAGCACACCTTGGCAGACAAACAACTAGGTGTGGACTAGCACATGGCGAGCACATAACAGCTGCCCTTGGATGCTGTCGTAGTTTCCGTGGTGGGAGGCAGATGGTTGGCCCTCGGGGGGGAGAGTAAAACAACCCAAATATCAAGCTTGCTGAACTGAAATCAGATTGTTAGATGGACTGGAAAGCAGTGACAGGGTTGAGGGCTGGGGGGAGGAGGACGTTCTGTGTTTTAAAAGCTTTAATGCGACGCTGTGGGTCAGCGTCTCCCCATGTGCCTTGAATCGGGAATCACATGCACCTTCTGTGGAAGCTCACTCCTTCGGTACTAAAATTATGCTTGTGAGGGATTTCCTTCCAAGATCGCAGTCAGAGATGAAGTAAACCTGCCTTCCTGATCTCAGTCTTTAATACTGTAACGGTGCACAGACATTGCTGTTCTTGTGGAATTGATCTTCGAAAGGCGTCCTGCCATTGCCCTTCCCTCCTGAGAGCCAGAGTTTAAGCCTCAGTACTAAACCAGCAAGACTTCAAAGGCATCATTAGTGTCATCATCCGACAGTGGACAGTCTACATAATTGCTCCATCCTGCCCCAGCCGGCAGGTACTGAGCAGGTCTGGAGGCCATGCCTGATGCTCCTACGACAGTAAATTATGCAGGCATTTCAGAGAAATCTCCAGAGTGAAGCACTCTCTGATTCCGGCCTGTCAGACAAGACATCAGCCTATCAATGGAAATAAGGGTGGGCCTATACCATGCCTTCAAAAAAGTAGCAATTTCCTAGATGATTGAGGCCTTTTGTCATTTATGTCAACGCCTTCTATCAGCTTCCTGCTAGAAAGACAATGAAATTTAGTTTGTGTGATGCCAGGTAAACAGTGATTCCAAAAATAAAGGACCACGTGATTCTGTGGTTAAGCTCAGCATTTTATGATGTTCACTTTATTTTTTGTTTTTGTTTTAGGTGGCTCTCCCTACTTAGCCACAAAAATCAATGAAGCGAAAGACCTGTTGGAATCCAGCAGTAAACACTAAGACCCCAGGATTTCTGTCTGCAGAAATTCAGAACATTTTATTACACCCAGACAACCCCATCCAGGGCCGCAACAGCCCCTGGTGTGACTGATTTCTTTTCTGCATTGAGCAAGAGTGTCAGAACTGGTCTGCGGTTGCAGGATTGTGAATGCAGTTCTAAGAATACTTGAAGGTGCAATTCGGAACATTTAATAATAAAAATCGACCCTGCTTTGCAAACCTGACTTGTGCCACACTTGCAGGAAAAGTGCATTGCCTGGATATGACACCTGAGGTGCAACCGCATCATGCAAAAAGGTACCTTCCCTCCACAGAGTACCCAGCATGGCAGTTTGCATATGTTCTCTCCTCCTGCAAAAAGACAGAGCGTTTTCCTTGAAGAGGCCCAGTACACTCTAATCACATGCGCTGATTGAAGCACTGTGCATGATGAATTTAATTCTGGGCTTGGACCTGAAGCACCTCTTCCCTGTCAACCACATCTCTTTCCTACGTAGCCAAAATATTTTGGGCTGCTTTTTAAGGGCAGTAGCTGTTGGGTGATATAATTCAATAATAGTGTCATAATAAAACAGGGAAATTAATAAAATAATGAACATCAGCATTAGTCACAAACATGCAGCTCAGGCAGTATTAAAATCCAACGTGCAATGATATGTAAAAGCAAAGAAGGCAAAGAAGCAATTAAACATACTCAAACAATTGTTTGTTTGTTTGTTTGTTCTGCAACATCCCACAGTCAAAAAGAGTTGGGTCTTGAAAGTCCTCTCCAAAGCCTGTAGTGACGGGGCCCGGCAAATTCCAAATGGCAGCCTATTCCAGGGGTGTTGGGCAACTGCAGAAAAAGCCCTCTCCCTTGTGCTTGACAGCCTGCCTGTCCCAAAAGATGGGTAAGTGACAAGGGGCTCTCTTTTTGAAGTGTGACCAGTTTGCCACAAGTGTAGGCGATTCTTCAAGTAAGTTGGCTCCACACCTTTTAAGGCTCACTTCCCCATTCTTGCGTGCTCCAGATGTTTTGGACCATCATTCTCATTGGGCTTAATGACGACATGCTCAACCTGTTCTGGACGGGGTCACCCTCTCCCTCTTCATCAAGGGTGCTCCTTGTTCATTGGTGCTCCTGAACTCTTCTTGGCTATCCAAGGTACTTGCTCCTTGCCCTGCCGCTTACTTGATTATGGACCTCTGGTATCCTTCTGACCACTCCTTTGGCTTGCTCCATGGCGTTCTCCTAACTCCTGACCTTGGCCTGCCCCAGCTTGGACTTGTTAGTGGCCGTAGGACACTGTTGGACTCTGTTGCTGCTTTGGGTCTTCTTGCCTTGTCTTCTGCTGGCCGTGGCTTGGCTCCCGAGAGGCCAGTGGTACCTACCATCCAGCATCATGTCTGGATTAATTCCCACCTCACTCATCTGCCCTCAAGAGTTCTGGTTCAAGAGTTCCACAGCTGTCATGTGACAAATAGAAACACGGGAGAGCGAAGTACCGTGAACATACCAATGACATGTCAGCCCAGTCCTCCAGGTGATGGCCTCTAGTTGCTTCATGTTGATGTCAGTAAATATGAAGGACAAGATGGAACCTTGTGGACACCCGGCAATTGTGAGGACAGCTCAAGAGGCTCCCACTTCCACTCTGAGGCTGTTCCTCCAGGAGGGGCCTGGGCACGCTGCCATTTGCTTGGCCTCCAACACTGGCATTAAGGAGGAAATAAAACAACATCCCTGGGCACCTTCCTAAATCCACAATGGAAACATGAAGGTAAAGCGACATCTCTTTAACTGTCCTTCCTCCTCTGTGCCCCAAATCTTGGTGGGAGGAGGGGAGCAGTGAGAATTCAGTCACCCTCAGAAATCCCATATCGACCGTTATGTGTCTGTTAATGAATCTTCCAGCTCTTTCCTGTGAGGGAGGAAGGCTGCCCACCAAAAAATATCAACCCCGATGTCTGCAGGTATCGGTCTAGGCAGAGAGTTTTATGGACCTGTCCATTCCTACATATTTTGAGTGCTTTCCAACAGTAACAGCTCCGCCTCTTATAGCAACACTGTAATCTGTCTTTTGTTGATTTACTTTCCTGAGACATTCATGCAATGCTATCCGAAGTCTTGGTCATGTTATTGTCTTTTTCAATCTAATGCATTTGCTTTCTCTAGCAATCTATTACCTTATGAAAAAATGTCATTATTTTTTCTTGTATAGAATTTTAAAAGATCAAAACATTACCCAAACATTGTCTTTTATTCTAGCATTTGATAGATTTTTCTCAATTTCTAAACCTTACTGAATTCCCTTTAACAGATAAAGGAAAGTTTCTCTGTCCCCGGTGCAATCTCTGTGTGATGTTTTTTGTACAGAAGCAGAATTGCTCTGCTAGGCAATGGAAATGTTCTTTCGACCATTTTTATAAGTCGATGAGAACTGCTGTTCCCATCTGAATGCAGCATTTTGTTGCTAAGGAAAAGACTGTATTAAAAACGCCCATAAAAATTTTAATGGAAGTGTAAAATACATCTAATATTGTTCCGCTTGCTTCGCTTGACACCTCCCCCTTTGCTGGCGTTACTGGCCTCCATCCTTTTTTTCTTGCATCCATTTTAACGCTATGCACCCTGCCAGGGGTGGATATATTTCTGTCAGAAAGGGCTTTGACTTCTTTTATCTTGCCTATTTTCCAAACTAGATTTCCATTAGATTAGGCCAGAATTTAGATCTCCACATACCTTTCTGTGAAGAACTAATTAATTAGTGATTGCAACATGCGGAACGGTAGAAGGATGGGAACCAACCATCAGCCTAAATTCTGAGGTCCTTTCAAGATTACTGCTCTGAGCTGTGAAAAAGGACGGAGCCAAAGGAACGAAAAGGTTCCTGTGTTACTGTAGGAAGGGCAGAACAATTTTATTAAGTGGATGCCCCACCTTTCCACCAAAAATGGGTTTCGTCTTATAAACAGTTTGACAAAATGATTATAAAAATATTTATAATCAAAATAGAAAAGAAGCATATTAAGGAAGAATTGGATCCCAGCATGGTGCACCTGAGCAGCAGAATCCACAAGGGAGACAGGCCATCTGGTCCTGCCTCCGCATCGTGCTGCAGTTCTTGCATTTCTTTCTCCCTACATTATCTCGATGTCTCTTTAGACACTTGTTCCCACATTCAAATGGTATGCAAACCTGTGTCCTCTTCTTCCCTGCTCATACGGCGATGCATTTCCTCTTTTTTGCTGATGCACATGTGGTACACCAGCCAAGCGTATCCCCTCTGTTAAAGGGGTATAAAGCTCCATTTAAATCAGTCCTCTGGCTGTACAGCTTCTCCGTGCAAAAGCGTGGTTTGAACCAGGATGGGTTAGGTCAGGGGACGGAGTCACACAGACCAGACAGGCCAGCTCTTTGCCTGCCTTGTTCTCAGAGGAATGCCGAGGCGCTATTTCTGGTGTAAGGATGGCACTAGAGCAAGGGCCTTGGGAGTTTGGAGGCTGCAAACCAGGTGTGAAAGCATCTGCAAGTTGTTTTCATGCTCAGTTGGAACCTGCATCTGTTGATGATACACAATTAAGCTTCTTTCCGCTTGACAAAGAGTCAGTTCAGGTCACCTGCCCCACCTACATGGCCGTGTGCCCCGTTCTGCAGCTGTTCCCCAAACCGCCTGCCTCCCCCACAGGCTCGTTTCTGTACAAGTGAGGCAGGAGGGAGAAGGCCTGCCTCTTCCACAAGATACATTCCCATTTGTTTAGCAACCCGGAATGTTTGGCAGGGGAGCAGGATGATAGCTGCAGGGCCTGCAGAGGCTGCTTACGCACAGGCATTTGACTCTGAGCTCCATTGACTGGCAGTAGCTGCAAAGGTTTATGTTACGGATGCCACAGTGTACAAAGTATGTTTCTTTTATCCTTTGTGGCCTAGCTTTTGTGCATTACTTGGACGAGGTGCTTGAGTGCAGTTTGCAAATTCTAGTGAGCTGGGAGCCTAGAGACTGTGCCGCACAATTCTCTGGTTTTTGCTTGCAATGGTGCTGTGGGGGCCCCTTTCTGGGGTCCCATCTCCCCACTCCGAAACAATGGCATCATCTCTGGACTCTGAGCGAGCGCCCTCCAAAGGGCCTGTCTTAAACAGCTCCAGGCTGAGGCTTCTCGGTGGAGTCGAGCCCTCCCTGAGGGCCAGCACAGCGGGCAAGAGCATGCGGCTGGACTCAGGCGATCTGCGTTTGAATCCCCGCTCAGCCATGGGCCCCGCTGGGTGGCTTCTGGCCAGGCAGAGCCGCTCAGCCCAACCCATTGCAGTGTGGTTATTGTGGGAATAAGATCGGGAGCAGCAGGAGGAGAATGATGTAAGCTGCTTCAAGAAACAAAGCAGGATATAAATCTAATACAAGCACATAAATAAATTTCACATCTGCTTTTCCTTTTCTTCTTGCGCCTTCAGCTTTCCCTCGCATGATTACTTTCTTCGGGGAACTTTGCCTTCATACGATGTGCCCGCAGTACAACCGTCCTTGCATCCTCAGCTTTGCTTCTAGGGAAACATCCGGCTCGAGGTGATCCAGGGACCCCTCGTTCGTCTTTGCCTGTCCAAGGGACTCGCAAAGCTCTCCTCCAGCACTGTGCTTCCAGTGCATCCATTTTCTTCACTGTCCATCTTTCACTCCCAGACAAAGCAGCAAGCAGGCTGAGCCGTTTCTAGTTCGCTACCAAGGGCCGTATGATGCCTGGGTATGCTCACCTACACATTTTTCATGCATCCTGGCGAAGGGGTTTCTTTTTTTAGCATCCCCCAAGCAGGGGATAACAGACTAATGAAGACTTTGCAGAATCGGCAAATCCTTCCCAGCAGGACTGTAAGAAGATTTTCCTCAGTCCCGGCTGCTTTTATCCAAATGGTGTGTTAGATGTGACTATCACAAAATTCCTTCCAGCTGATTTCCCTTGGGGCTTTTGGAACTTTATCCTCTGTATCGAGCAGCACACTAATTACTTGTTTTCCATATTAGAAGTGAGGTTGTGATTCAGAATGATTTCCCCCCTTTGGTCAATGGCTGTGAATTAAATGGGAAGGGAAACACCCTTTCTTGTCAGGAGTGGGTGAGGTCCTGAGAACCCCAAAATGGACCACCCTCTAACCTTTGCAATCTTGCCTTGTGTGTGTTCTGTTTCTGTGAGAGTAAACCCAACACAAAGAGCCCCTTGGGACTTCTTCTCATTGCCGGTTCTTAGTATCAGGAAACTTTACTTCACATCTGGATACTGCCCCCTGTCCCCACTAGTACGAGCTCATGGGTCGCATGCAGAAACTGTGTGGCAGCTGCAGGGCTGGCAAGGGGTGCCTCGGTGCCTGCAGCTCCTTTCCAGCCCACATGAGCCATGCTGAGCGCGTTGAGCTAACGGTTTCTCTCCCCATCCAGATGTTTTCTATGGTCCTTTGGACTTTTCCATGTGTCAGAGATCCATTTGGTGCTGGCATGCCTGTTTTCCATCTCTCTACTCCCCCAGCCAATGACAAATGCATCAGAAGTCATGACTCAAATTCCAGGACACCCAGAATTCTTCATCCCTGAACAAAATGGTGGGTGTACCATTCAAGCAACTCGTTTTCCCGTGGCCTAAGGGCAAAACCACTCACCAAACATTGGCCAGTTGGCTCACCATTGCCTTGAAGTCGCTGTCACTTCCCAGCAAAATTTTGCGAATGGCAGCTGGCGC